CTCATTTGTAAACCTAATCACATTAAAATCCCCACCTAAACACCACGGACCCTCCCACAAACCCCTTATATCATAGAGCTCTTCCCACATTTCGCCTCTCTCTCCATATCTATTCGGGCCATAGACATTCGTCATCACCCAGGTAAACTCTTCTCCCACACCCTTAAATTTCAAAGAAATCGTAAACCGACCTATTAGCTCTTCCATTGGCTCCACTACCTCTTTCCTCCACAAAGTCAAAAACATATATACTAAAAAATTAAAATATAAAAAGCGAATTTACCCCATTTTTATTCCACATTTACCATATATGCAGTGTACGTGACTTTTTTTTGATAAATAAAGGATTATAAAAGAGGGTTTAGGTTCCCTCAACAGAACATTTACAAGTGTGTGAAGCAAAAGGATAGATGGAAGATAAAGAATTAACTAATATCACAACATCAAAACTATCATAAAAAAATAATCTCCTCCAGTATGAACAAAAATGCTGACATTTAAAGTGGAGAAAACTCTTATGGCAACAGGCCACCTGATATAGTCTTCTCAATCCTTCCAAAGGCTGCCTCCACAGGCTGTGCAAGTTTTTAAAACCCTGCTATTGTACTTCTAAAGACACCAATAGACTTCAAGGGGCATTAATTTCCAAACGAGATTTTGCCTCTAGAGATGAAACCTTGACTTGCCCAAGCAAACGCCAAACATTGAATACTACCAGGAAGCACTCAACACCTATTAAACTGGTTCACAAAGTGGGTCCATACCCTGTTGGATACTTGGCCCACCAATAGCAGGGCTGAATGGGTTTAGAATCATTATAACAAATGCCACAAGCTGCATCCATCTGCAATCCTCACTCAACCAGCAATTCCTTAGTGGGGATCCTCCCCAATATTGGCTGTCCAAAAACAGAAAATCATCTTGACTCGGCCCTAGAAGTCCAAATCCATTTCCATAGAACTGTTTCTGCCTCCTAATTAAAAAGAGATTTTATAGGTCTTGGCAGAAAAGATGCCTGATCCATCAGCTTCTCATCACCATTTGTCACTTAGTGCTGGATTAGGAGAGTGATTAGACAATAGTTCTAAGCATTTGGAGCAGACCAGCAGACTCCCGATCCTGAAATTCCTACACGGCATTGGTGACCATTCTGGCCTGTTCCCCAAGATTTCATAAGAATTCCTAACAGAGGCATCCTTGTCCAGTATATAGTGTATACAACTTGTATATCAGAACTGCAAGATTATATATTTAATTTTGACTAGAAAGTCAATTAACTCTTATATAATGGCCCTTTAACCTACATATGATAGAAAATAAACTCACAAGTTTTCTGAGTAGGTATTAAGTAACCTAAATAATTTTTTTTTCAATAAATAATTTAAGATTTCATTAAGAAAAGAGCTGGAAGTTTGTATTTCCATCTCTAAATAAATTTTGTTCTCACAAGGGTTTTAAAACAGTTGTCCCTTGAAAAGAAAAATTAAAAAGAAGCAAGGGATTTTTTTTTTTTTTTTGATGAATAAAAGAAGCAGCAAGGGAATGATAAAGTAGAGAGCTATATTTTGATAGAATACCGATAAAAAAAACTATATCCCCATTAAGCTAATTTGAATCTTGTGAATAATATAATTTGAAATATCCATAATTGATTCAAAAGATTTAAACAGCAAATTAAAACTCTTTTAAAAGAAAAGGATTAATATGTAATGGTCAGACTGAAACCCTGTTTTGGATTGTGAATTGTATTGTAATTTGTGAAAATTTGACAATAATGCAGTACAGTTTTAAGCTTGCAGTCAAAGTGGCAATGCATGAATTTGGGGCCAAAATGTGAATGAAGAATAAGGATAGAACTCCCTTTACTGATAGGAGGGTTCACAACTAGTGGCCAGAAAACCTTCTCTTCTTTATTTTTGTTTCAATAGATAGCCTTCTCCTCTTCTTTATTCGTTCTTGTTATTCCTTCAGTGAAGCTTTGGTAGGAAGTTTGATGACCCAAGCTTATCGTCAAATTTCCTACTCTTATCCCCTGTTACCGGACCTTTTCTATATTCTGGGTTCACCCCCACTTGATATTAGAGCAAGTTTCTAGGACCCAACTTACCCTGGGGAACTGCCCTGCTGGATTGAGATAGCCTATTTATAGGCCATTCTTTTAAAATGCTACATACTCATAAGGTTTATGCTTTTAATTTGAGGCATGAAAGCGATCCACATGTCACATGTTATATGTTACATTCTTTTTTTGGGTCTTTCAAAGGTCAGCTCCCTATATTCCTTTAGAAATGAGAAAGAGCATAACTCCAATTCTGCCAATCCTGATTGAAATTTGACCACAAATAGGATATACTTGTTCTTAAGTTCCTGACCTATTTATTGGTCTTCATTGCAATCACAATGTAATGAACTCTAAAGTAATCAAATTAATATTCTTACATCACTGTGCAGCATGTCCTAGCAGCAGACAGCAGACTGTAACCCTTTGATCATAAGACACAGGAAATAAACAATAATATCACTAAAAACTGAACTGTTAGTCTCGTTGTGCAGAGACCTAAACAATAAGGAATCACGGATTGAAACAGTTTTGCTATGAGTTTCAAATGCTGTCGCACAAAGTGGTACGGAAGCAAAACTGGGAAATTTGCTCATGTAATTTTTTAACTAAATATAATACCAAAATAGCAGCAGGACTGGCCATTCAATTAGTGGTTAATTGAGTGGATTTGGCCACAATTGAGCATTACAAATTGTCCACCAAGTTGTTAAAGATTCTTCACTGCCATTTCATGTTTATTTCTCAGGCAGTTAGGTTGACAAAAATTCATTCCATTTTTTTTTAACCAAACAGGGACGTGGACCCCCTCCTGGTTCTGCTGCTGCTGCTGCATATGGTGGAGGCCCACCTGGTCCTACTGCACGTGCTGGATATGAGGCATCCAGAGGGCCTAGCTATGATGCCAATAGAGGGCCTGGTTATGATTCAAATAGAGGCCCTGGATACGATGCACCAAGAGGAGGTTCAGGGTACGATGCACCGAGAGGTCCCGGATATGATGCACCAAGAGGAGGTTCAGGGTATGATGCACCAAGAGGAGGTTCAGGATACGATGCAACAAGAAACGCTGGTTATGAAGCACAACCCAGAGGTGCAGCTGGATCCCAGGGACAGGTACAATCTGCAAATAATCTACCTTATGGCTCAGCAACCCCTCCTGCTCGTGCTGGTGGCGGGGGATATGATGCCCCTCGTGGTGGGAATCCTGTTAGGCGATGAGTTTGTGCTGTCATCATTTATAGTTCGGTGCTCTTGAAAACTGCTTTACTAAGTGGGCTATTGGAGAGATTCTGTTCACATGTTTTTTTTTTTTTTTTTTTGGTCTCGTACTTCATTTCCTTTTAACTCAAGACATGTGTTGTTGATGATTGGAAACTCCACATTTACAGGGCAATCTGTGAACTGAGTGTAGGCATGCTTGTCTGGAGGAGCATGATATTAATGAAATTGGGGAGTTCCTCAGGGGTGGTTGTTCTTTTCATTCCTGCTATGCATTTTTCTTGTTCTGATCAACCCTCTTTTTCTTACTATAGCAGGTGTATGGATCCTGATTTGTCTTTTTGTGATAGAATGGATTGGTAAAACGTGAGCCCTTATAGGTGTGATAAGGCGTGGATGAATGCTTATTATTATAGCAGTTGTTTGCTAATAAACAAAAAACAACTGCCACATGAATCTTGTTGGTTTTTATTTGTTATTTAATTTCTACATCAGAAAAAAAAAACAAAAAATATATCTTCAAATGTAAGAACTAACAAGTTTGGTTTTATTTCAAGGAAACAACACATTTTTTAAACCATAAAAAATAGTGGTTATTAAAATAAAAACAAATTTTGTAGTATAAAGATTATATGACTATGGAATTTGTTTAATTAATTAGGCTTAATTTGGAAGGAGTACAAATACAAATATGTACAATACAATTTCATACAAAATAATACAAAATATAAGATTTTGCGCTTTACATATTTGTATTTGTAAAACATGTTCTCTAAGGTATGCCCTCCAAAAGTGGCCACATGTCCCAAAATCGATACTATCATACAGTACACACTGATATGTTTGTATGCTTTGAACTCGGCCTACAAATTTCATGTCATACGTAGTCCATGTATTTAGGGGTGTCAATGGTATTCAAAAATCTGATTTTGAATTTGAGGTTTGACATAATTGAATAAAATTCGGATAATTTATTCATATTGAATAGCTAATCAGATTAGACTTCGGGTATTACCTGATTTGATTCAATAAATATTCGAATTTGATTGATTATTTAACTTTTATATATAATATATAAATATATAAATGTTTTATATGGTTTATATGTATAATAATTAAATTATATAAATAATTTATATATTTTTATACTTAATATAAATAAAATATTTATTTTATATATTTATTAACTGCCTAAAATAATTAATTGGTCGAATTTGAATCAAATCAAATATTCAAATATTTAATTAAATTTGTATATTAATTTTCAATATCCGTCAGATATTGAGTCAAATTTAGATATTGAATTTTCTAATCGGATTCGGATTTGAATATTGTCTGATTCGATTTGAATTTCATCTGATTACACCTCTACATGTATTCTCCAGAGCTTGTGTTCGGAATGCAGAATTCATGGTTAAAAGTATTGATATATTGAGAGAGTAGATTAAATGAAACTTTTTTTTTAATTTTTTTATTCTGACCTCTTGTTAGGAGACATGACATATCATAAGTTATTAAGTGAAACGACCTAAATCATTGAATTCTAAATATTCATCTTATTGCTAATCCAGAACACCGATACAATAGAACTGTATTGGATATTATTGTATTGATATTTTGAATGAAAATTTTGCTAAATTGGCTCATTTGACTTAGAGTACTCTAGATAAATTATTCAAAGAGGCCGAAGTGGATGATCCTTCGAATGAATGATAAGCAGCAGATTTGGGCTCTATACATTTTCCCTCCAAATATACCTTATAATTATAGCCTGTTCATAAAGAATTCAGATCTCCTACCCACACCTACCCATATGATATTACAGCTGTACATCGAAAATATTTTCCCATGACATGCAAATAGGGGAGATGTTCTCAATGTGCAAATGTAGTGAGGCGTGGGTAGGATATAGGAGATTTGACTTTATGTGAGGGCCTACCTTGAAGACTAGATGATGTTGCATTTTATCCCCTCCCAAATGGCAGGGGAAGGGTTTTATTCCATGATTTGGCTCCATTTGGTTTGCAAGAAAGGATGGGAAAAGAGAAATATTCCTAAATGTTTTTTTTTTTCCCTCATGTTTAATTGTTGGGATACAATGGATTGAAATGAGAAAAGAGTGAGATACAGGATCCCGAAAACAAGTGAGTGAGATCCCACCAAAATAGTGCGACCAAGGTGCGAAAGGAAAAAAGTGAGACGTGTCTAAGAAAAATTATCGGGCTTTGTCAGACCAGAAACAAGATAGTCTCTTGTCCCTTCCACCCAGCGTCCCAACAGTCGTATCTTTGATGGTTTCTCTGATGATCTCGAGCAAAGGTGAGACCTGATTTATCTCTTGCGATGCAAGCCATCAACCATTTTCATTATGTGGCAATCTCTGCAATGACTGAACCTATTCTTCACTAGTTCCAACAGAGAAAAACTCCATTCTTTTTGTGCAGTCAAGACTTGCATTTTGTTTTCTTTTTCCTGTGTTCATATTCTAACCTAACGATGGAAATCCTCATTGCATCTATCGTTACTGTATTCTCTCAAAATCTTGCATGTATTTGTTTATCTGAGTTCATTTACCATTAGATCTATATTTTATTTATTTATTTATTTTGAGATCACTTGGTCATTTCTAACCCAACGACTTGGTCATTTCGATTGCATCTATTAGCAAAGAAACTAGATCTAACCCTCTTGAATATTGCGTTTTATTTGTTAGTCAACGTAAGATCATTTTTATTAGAGCTCTTATTACTTTGTTCTTCTATGGCATTTGAGTGATAGTGCATTGAATTAAAAAAAAAAAGGCTAAGTTTTTATTGCAAATAAAGTAGATTGGTAGTTAGTTTAAGTGCAGGATTATTTAAAAAAAAAAAGTGGCCAAAGAGGGAAAAAGGTGTTTATCCAACCCAAGTTTCTCATCATTCCAACAAAATGATATTTCTACAAATTAAGAGGAAGAAATATGAAGGGGTGCAAGAAATTTAGTTTAGATCTAATGATTTTCCCACAAAACAAACATGGGAAAAATAATTTTTCCTTGCATAACCAAACGATGAAAAGTGAAAACTTCACACTTTCTCATCCCATCCCATCCCACCCCTTCCCATATTAGGTGTAATTTTGGAATAAAAGACATTGTACGGATGCTCTTTTACATTTTTTGTATGGGTTTGTGGCCATTTTAGATGGAAGTTAAGGTGGTGTTCAATAACATGTTCATATTATGGATGGAACATTTCGGTCCATGCCACGGGATGAATTCCCTGTTCGGTTGGTCGTGGATAGGATCAATCCACACTATATTGTGGACTGTCCTCGTCCACACCCCAAAATCTCGACCACACATATCTCGTGGATGTGTCTGGTCCACAACATTCCCACTCTATTTTGATCAATACATCTCTTCTACATACTTTTTTTTTTCTTTTTATTTTTTATATTTTAAACCAATATTTTTATTTTATTTTATTTTATTTTTAAATTTTATCAATAAAAAAATTTATAATTTTAGTTATATCACAACCTAACAATACTCCTTCTCCACTCTTTATTTATTTATTTAAATATTAATTTGTTAATGTTTTATCAATAAAATAGTATTTTAATATTTAAAATAATTTATTTATTTATTATTTTACTATCATTTTTATTAAAATTAATATTTATTGGTTAATATTAATTTATCAATGCATTTTCAATATATTTATCATATAAAATGCAAAAATTAGACATTTTATGATCGACTATGTAGATCATTCATAAACTGTATATGAGATACATTGAGTCAAAAAGTGTGGTGTGGATAGGTCCATACCACACCTATAGAACAACATGTGGATGTGGACTGGTCCAATCCACAATTCAAAATAACTATGGATTGTGGTGTAGTGTGGATTGGTCATTACCACAAGTGTGGTGTGGACCGGTCCACACCCACCAATTTCTCATCTACACTAAAAAACACCCCCTAAAACTTTCTTTATGGGAAGGTTGTTTAATTATGTATTTGATTCCGTTTACGTTTTTTTATTCAACGTTTGTACTTTATTTGCTTGTAAAACCGAGAAAGATAATAATTACATCCGTTTACGTTTATTGAGTAAACATTTATTGACGGTGCCACATAGGCACCCCGTCAGCAAATGCCTCATTAATTACATTTGTGTGAAGCAAACTTCGGTTTCTGTGCACCTCTCCTGTTTCGAAAAAGTTCATTTTGGAGCTTCCTAAAACGGGTAGGCATTTTATTGGCATTTTGCTGATGTGGTGCCTAATGGTGCCTATGTCTCATAAACACCCTCATTAAATGTGTTTCTCGATTTTACAATAACACAAGTACAAAACGTTTATTGAATAAACATAAATGGAACCAAGCACATGTAGATGTACACAAAAATAGTGAAAAAACGCCTAACCATTTATGAAAGCTTTAAAAAACAATTTCCCAATCGGTAGGTGTGCACAAAACCAAAGTTCACTTTCGCCATTCTTGATGTATACATAGCAAGAAAGGTGAACTACTGAAGTTGTGCCTATGTGGCAGAATTTAGTGAATAAACGCCCACGAACCAAACACCCTATCAAGCGGTTGCAAACTATACAGGGGTTGTTTTAGTTAAACATGTGAAACTATAGGTTATTTAAGTAAATGACTCAAAAACTAAGGAGTCAAAATAATAGATTCCCTAAATTACAGGGGTGTATGTGGAGTTTATCCAATTTCATATAACTTGCTGCGTTCCGCAAGTCGCACACGCAACTCGCAAGGCAAGCAAGAGACGCTTCTTCCTCCCTCAACACTCAAAAATTCAAAATTTGCACTTTCCCGGCAAACCGGAGACATGGAAGCCGAATCGCTGGAAGGTGAAATTACCCGTCGAAGCAACTTGCATGGAGGTAAGCTCTCGAGACGACATCTCTTCAGTTTGAATTTCTCTATCAATTTTGGATTGTCGATCCAAAGGTTTAAACATACGACCTTTTTCTCTCCCTTGTTCATACGTGCCAACCTTTCTAGGGTTTTGTTTACCATTTCTTTCTAATCAAGGTTGAAAAGCGAAGGTTGATACATCAGATTTCGGTTTTCCGTTTCTATAATGTTCACTTCTGATACTGTTTACTTATAGTCTTGGTGATCAGAGGTCTTGAGAACTTTTAATCAGTTCAAGTGCTTCATCCGGTTAGGTTTCTATGCAAATTTCGCTATAATTTTTTGAGTTTTTTTTCTTTTTTTGGCATATGTGAAGATTCTACCATTCGAGGCATGGGATCTGTTGTTGCTACGGTTAGTGGCTACCACGGTTCGGAGCGGTTCAAACTCATCAAGCTTATTAACCAAACTGGTGCAAACTATGTAGGGACAATGACTAGATCGACGACTCATTTGGTGAGTTATGGTTGGAAATCATGGACAATTGATGTCACAATAGTTTTCTTTTTTTTTTTTTTTWTTGGGGGGGGGGGGTTCCTTCTGTGTTCTGCTGCCGAACGGTGGAAGTTATATGATACTGGATTCAGATTTTTCTTCTTCTTTCTTGTGGGTGATTAGGTTTGTTGGAAATTTGAAGGAAGGAAATATGATATGGCTAGGAGCTTTGGAACATTAATAGTCAGCCATAGTTGGTTTGAGGATTGTTTGAAGGAAGGGAAACGTCTTCCAGAGCGGCCCTATATCATGCAATGGTACTAAGTGTTATTAATTTTTTTAATATGATTTGACATATGAAGTGAATCGGTTTTACTAGTTATAGTAGTCATCATCCTTCTTTTGGTAAATAAGCATGGTATATTCTCTGTTTATGTATATTGTAAACTTTGTCACGTGGACTCCATGGTTCTAACTTTATCGCTGAATCCCAAAAGGAGGTATTTCTGGGTTTTATATTTTGATGCCCTTAAATCCAGCATTCTGTGACCCTTCTTACTACTGAATTGGATAAATATGGGGTGTTTATTGGTGGTTGGGTAGTATTGATTATTGCAACTGTGAGCTTTAAGTTAATTCATATACAATTGGAATGATAACTAGCTTTTTTGAAACGGACAAAGCTTCAAAGACAATGATTTTTCTGATTAAATGAAATGAAGAATCAATCCTTAAGGGGTTTCATTTAGGCAATGGTGCCCTCAAGAAAAGAGTGAGGAGAATCCCAACTCTTGAAGATGGATTTGATCCCTCAACATCCTATTTGATGTTTCCTTTTTCATATGGACAGTGGTGTTCAATACAATTCTGATGATGAAGCACGTATCTCTTGGAAAGTGTGGCATGAGAAATATGTGCACCTCATGCTACAAGGAATCAATAATCTATCTATTGATAGCAGATTTTGCTGAGTTGTGATTCTACTTGCAAAATTTTGACTGTGGATCCATACCTTGTAGAGCTGTTTAAGATTCACTGGAACATGGCTAGTTTTTTTTTTGATCAATAACATCAAATTTTATTAATCTTGGTAGAATGTGGTAAGTACAGAAAGTTCAAGAGAGATAAAACCACTTATCTCTCCCCCAAGAAGCCCCAATTCCCTTACAATTGTGCCCAAAACAATGAGTCTCTCTCCATCCCTTGCCTAGCTAATGTATCAGCTAAGGCATTTGCACTCCACTTAACCCACCCTGTCCTTACCTCCATATCTCTAGTTAACCACCTGAATTTCTTCCTATTATTATTATACATCCACATTTTTATTCCCTCATCCTGTAACTAGTTAATCACCAGTTTAGAATCCCCCTCAACACTTAGTTTACTGATGTGTAGAGTTTTTGCCCTTTGTATGCCTTCCATTACAGGCATGACTTCTGCTCTCAATGAGTCTCCTTCCCCAGCCGGCCCAGAATATAGGGCAATAATTTAGCCCTTTTCATCTGTAAATGCACCTCTGATGCTGGAAGGTCTTCGATTGCCTATGCTGCTACCATCAAAATTTAATTTAATAAATCCCCCGTCTGTTGGGCTCCATTGGTGAACTGTGACAGCCTTAAGAGCAGATGAATCCACCACAGCCCTCCAGTTCCTCAATAAATCATCTGCTGAAACACAAGAGAAGTCTTTTAAGGACTTCAACCAGTGCACCACTTTTATTTCAATTGCTTCAAAAGCTTCTTTACTTGTTGCTTTATCCATGAAGATTCTTGAGTTCCACTCCTCCCAAATCGTCAAAACAGTAGCAGCTCTTATGCACCTCCTCATAATTCTCCCTTTCTTTTTTGGCCAAGAGAAAGTAGTTGCATCAAACATGCTTTGTACATTTACAGGAGGAACCCACCTGCAGCCAAACAAAGAAAAGCACCATTCCCAAACCAAAGTAGTGAAGGAACATGAGACAAATAAGTGATATAAGCTCTCACTATCAGCCTTACATAATACACACCAGTGAGGAGATAAACACCAACTGGGCTGCTTTCTTTGAAGTAGATCAATGGTGTTAACCTTTCCATGTACAACTTCCCAACAAAAGCCGTAATCCTTGGCGGGACAGGTCTGCACCATACCTCTTTCACAGGAAAAGATGACAGAATACTGGGGGAGGACTGTGACCAAGTTTTGAGGAAAGAAGCGCAAGAAAAAAAATCCAAAGGTAGTACAGGTCCAGATTTGGCTATCAAGTAAAGAAGGATCAAAAAACACTCCCTCCAACAACCATATCAGGTTCATTACACTCTGGATCTCTGAATCTCTGAATCTCTGAGACCCCTTCGGAAATCCAAACCCCAATTAATCCCATTATTTGAAGAAGATTGAGTACAGAACTTGGATATTGATTCATTTTTAAGGGAATTGGTTCTTTAGTGGGGAGGTACCTATCCAGATATGTTCCCAAAATTTTATACTGTTACCATTACAAAGATTGTACCTGATGTAGGGGATGAACATAGGTAATATTGCACTGATAACCTTCCAAGGAAACTTCCGGGTTGCCCTAGGCAGTAGACCAGCATTCCATCCATTGTCCAAGAGCCCATGAATGCTCACTATCACCTTAGTCCACAATTTGTCCCTATCCCGACTCTTGAGGCAATCTCCATAACCACTTCCCAAGTAATGATGCTAAGTTCCTTTTCTATATGTTTCCTAAGCCCGGCCCCCCTTCTTCTTAGTTCTTACACACAACCTCCCAACTTACCCTATGATCTTTCTTTTCCTCTCCTGGCTCCCACAAAAAATTCCTCATCATCTTCTCTAAGCTTTTGCATATGCTAACTAGAGCCTTGAAGACTCACAAATAGTAGACAAGCAAATTGGCTAGGGTTGAGCTGATTATTGTAATCCTGCCATCTAACGACAAATAACCTTTCAGCTAGCTGGCTAGCTTTTTAGAGAACTTTTCTAAGACTGGATTCTAGAAGACAACTTCTTTTGGGTTAGCTCAGTGTTTTAAAGCGCAAGGCGCAAAAAAGGTGTAGGGATCAATTTGCGCTTGAGGTGCAAGGTGCAAGGCAAGGTGCATGCCTTTTTAAGTAAGGCAGAAAAAATAAAAAAAACCAAAAAATTCAAAAAAATGCAAAAAAATCAAAAAATTATTAAACATAATATTAATAAAAAATATAAACTTAAAATTTAAAATAAATGTTTTAAAAAACCTATTATCTAAAATTAAAATACATAAATATAACATGTAAAGCATATTCAAATGAGAGTTTAAAAATAAAATCAAATATATAAAACATTTTCAAGAATATAAAACCTACAATCTTTTTCTTTTCAATTGCATTACTTCAATTAGCTAACGTGATGTAAAATATATTACATTCCTAATTCTACGAGCCGCCTTTGTGCCACGCCCCTCGAGGCAAGCCCAAACAAGTCCACGTTAGGCCTTAAATTCTTAGTTCTCACATAAAAAATAATGATTTTATAGTTTTAATTGCTTTTTAAGAAGACATTTTATTAGGATGAATGAATGAACAACATTACCAAATAGGAGGTTCTCGAAGCTTTGGTGGGTGTGGCCCAGTTGCTAGACACAAAAAGCAAAAAAGTGTCAAATTTTCAAAAGGCGCATGCCTGGGCTAAGGCACAAGGCACACCAGGTGCACCAGGCGTGCACCTTTTGAAAGGGCTGCACCTAGGACCTGGGCGAGGCGCCTACCCTAAAATGTGCCTCGCCTGTGTGCTTAGGCACGCCTTTTAAATCATTGGGTTAGCTCCAAGGGGCAAGCCTAGATATGTTAGAGGCCACGACACAATACTACAACCTAATATCTTTGCACATTCTGCCAATTTCCCTTCTCCCTTATTGATCCCCGCTATGGAGCTTTTCTCCAAGTTGACCTTAAGGTTTGACATCTTTTAAAAGAGCTGCACTGAGAGCTTCATATTTCTTACCCATTCCAGTTTAGTTCATTCACAAAAGAGAATGGTGTCATCTGCAAACTGTAAATGTGTAATAGGCACATCCTCGCTGATCAGCCCCCAAGATAATTCTGATTAGAACATTAGCTATAAGTGTGAAGATAAAGGGGGAAAGAGGTTCTCCTTGTCTTATCCCACGTTTAGCTGGAAAGAAGTCTGTTACTGTGCCATTGACTAAGATAGAATAGTGGCAAGAATTTAAGCACCCCCAAATCCATTTGCACCATCTCTCACCAAACCCGCATTGCCTTAAAACCTTGATTAAGAAAGTCCAATCAACTAAATCAAAGGCTTTTTCCATATCCAACTTGCAGATTAATCCTTTTTTCTTTGATCTCTTCATCTCTTGAACATATTCATTAGCAATTAAGATTTGATCAGTGGTTTGCCTATTTTGGGTAAAGCCCCTTGATTGGAAGTTACAAGAGAGGGGGGACTTCTCTAATTCTTAGAGCCAAGACCTTAGCCAGAATTTTGTATAAACTATTCACCAAGATGATGGGTCTAAAGTCTTTTGGATGGTTAGCTCCACTTCTTTTTGGAATCAAGGCAATAAATGTGGAGTTCAAACCTGTGTTTATTATTCCCCTTTCAAAGAATTCATTGAAAGTCCCCATTAGATCCTCTTTGAGCACTTCCCAACAATCTTGATAGAAAACATCGCCTTTTTGATCTCCTCCTCCTCAAAAGGTCTTTCCATCCAATTCTTTTGGTCCCCCGATAAGCTCTGCCAATCCAAACCATCAGCCCACAATCTCTCACCTAACGACCTTCTATATGTTGATTTAAAATGTTCCACAAAGGCCCTTGCAATTGCTCCTTGTTGAGATATGATCTCAGGGTCTTGCTGCCTTAGTAAAGTTTGGAAATAAAATTAGATGTGATTCAACTATTAAAATTAGTAGAATAATTTAGATTAAAGCAAAAGAAAGTAAGGAAGAAGAAGAAGACAACAAGAAGGAAGATTGGAGGAGAAAGGAGAAAGAAAGGAGGAGTTCAATAATCTCCTCTTTCCCTCGCTAATCTTTTAATAATCTTACTTAGGTTACATAATTTACAAGATTGCCCTTAAGTAGGGGTCCACATCTGCACTATACTTAGAAAACATAAATAAGAGCTAAAGGTCCATAAAGAAAAGGCCCAATAAGAAAACATAACAAGAAAGAACTGATAAGAAAGACACTAATGGGCTAGGGCCCATTCGGCCCAGTCTCTCTACACTCCCCCTCAAGTTGAGCATAGATATCCATCATGCCCAGCTTGCTTATATAGTGAACCAGCTTTCCTTTAGGAACACCTTTTGTCAAAACATCAGCCAACTGTTCTT